ATAGAATAGAATAGAATAGAATAGAATAGAATAGAATAGAATAGAATTAATGGAAATGGAAATTAGAATAGAATAAAATAGAAATAATAATAGAATAGAATAGAATAGAAATAAGAATAGAATAGAATAAAATTAATAATAGAATAGAGTAGAATAGAATAGCATAGAATACAATGAATAGAATAGAATAGAATAGAATTAATGGAAATGGAAATTAGAATAGAATAAAATAAAATAGAAATAATAATAGAATAGAGTATAATAGAATAGAAATAAAAATAGAATAGAATAAAATTAATAACAGAATAGAATAGCATAGAATACAATGAATAGAATAGAGTAGAATGTAATTAATGGAAATGGAAATTAGATAGAATAAAATAGAAATAATAATAGAATAGAATAGAAATAAGAATAGAATAGAATTAATAATAGAACAGAGTAGAATTAATGGAAATGGAAAAGAATAGAGTATAATAGAACAGAATTAGAATAGAATAAGAATTAGAATTAGAATAAAATAGAACAGAACCTGGAAGGGCCCTTGAAGGTCTTCTAGTCCAACCCCCTGCTCAACCAGGAGATCCTATACCATTTCAAACAAGTGGCTGATAAGGGGGATAAATGAGCAGCCTCCAGTCTTATGACCTTTTTCACATCGGTTGTTAAACATAAAATGAATCCAGTTTCCTCCATTGGTTTTGCTTGTCAAAAGCTGGCTGGGCAGGTTGTAAAGGGTGATCACATGAATCCAGGAATCTGAAACCAATTTAAATACATGCCAGTTGCCCAGTGCCCAAATATTCATCATTTGTCCGTGAGGACACCTTCATAAATGCGAGGACCGATTGAAAGTCATTTTTTTCCAGTGCAAGTATAACTTTGCTAAACGGTGCTAAATTCCTGATTCTAACCCGGACACTCTCTGTAATTTGATTTTCCTGAAAATCAGAATGGAATATTTATTTTGACTCACCGAGTTGCCGCTTATCTGAAGCAGGAGACATGTGTGTTGCCGAGATACACAACAGTAACTTGTGTTGGCATCTTAATTTTTTTTTTTTAATGCTTGTACATTTTATAACAATTATATTGTAAGGCAGCCAGCCAGAATTGCCTTGTTGTTTTGCAAGGAAACGAGACAAATGAAAGGGCTGCTTTGAAAATATTCCATTTTATCAGGGTTCTTGCCTTTTTCCAAAATTTGAAGTCCAGAACAAACGTGTCAGAAATATATACTTGAAGTGGGGAGGGGAGAATTAGATTCCTAACCTATTTTTTTCCCCAACAACCAAGTTTATTTTCATATGAAAATAAGAATTCAAATCAGATTATGATGATCGGAACATCTTATATCATGGGGATTAGACCCTTAAGCCTTGTTAATTCAGCAAGCTTTCAGAGTGAATTAAGAAGAGATTAATTTGTCTAAAGTAGCATGCTGGGGGGGGGTTGGACTAGAAGACCTCCAAGGTCCCTTCCAGCTCTATTCTGATGAAAACCTATTCTCCAAGCCACAGGAAGGCAGGACAAGAAGCAAGGGATGGAAACTAATTAAGGAGAGAAGCAACTAGAACTAAAGAGAAATTTAGTAACAGCTAGAACAATTAACCAGTGGAACAGCTTGCCATCAGAAGTTGTGGGTGATCCAACATGGGAGGCTTTTAAAAAGAGATTGGATAGCTATTTGTCAGGAATTGTAGAGGCTCTCCTGCTTGAGCAGGGGGTTGGACTGGATGACCTCCAAGGTCCCTTCCAACTCGGTTATTACGTGTCCTGCACAGACCCAATTTGGGCTGGTTTCCCCCTCCCCATTAACAGAGTTGTAGGTAATCTAGTCCAAACACCCCTCCCCCTCCCAAGCAGGAGACCCTACACCATTTCTGACATATGGGAGTCCAGTCCCTTCTTGAAAGCCTCCAGTGATGGAGGGTTGGACTAGAAGACCTCAAAGGTCTCTGCAAAGTTTATTCTCCTCCAAAGTTATTCTCCCAGATGCTTGCCCTGTGCAGACCCAATTTGGGCTGCGGTTGGACTAGAAGACCTCCAAGGTCCCTTCCAAAAGTATTAATCATTCCCCCGGATAGCTGCCCTGAGCAGAACCAACTCAGGCTGGGGTTGGACTAGTAGACCTCCAAGGTCCCTTCGGACAGTGTTAGTCATTCTCCCGGATAGCTGCCCTGAGCAGTACCAACTCAGGCTGGGGTTGGACTAGTAGACCTCCAAGGTCCCTTCCAACTCGGTTAGTCTCCCGGATACCTGCCCTGCACAAACCCAACCTAGGGGGATCTTGAAGGATGCCCACGCTCGCCCCCCCCCTTGCCCCCAAACCGAACCCGGCTGCGCTTAGAGGGCCGACGCGAGTCAGGCGCGTCGTGGGAAGGCGCCCTCTCACCTGTGGTGGTGAGGGCGCTGGTGACGAAGAAGAGCGCCGAGGTGAACTCCCAGGCGGGGTCCGCCGAGACGTTGCTCAGGGCGAAGTCGCCGTAGCCGCCGGCGGCCAAGAGGCGCCCCAACAGCCCGGCCAGCTGCTCTTCGGCCAGGCAGGGCCGGTGCTCGGCCAGCAGCGAGGCGCGGGCGGCTTGCAAGGCGGCCACCAAGGCGCGCTCGGCGGGCGCCTCCAGGACGGCGAAGACGGCGGCGCCCAGCAGCAAGAAGAGCCCGTAGGCGGCCAGCAGCAGCCCGAAGCGGCCCGGCCGCCGCAGCCCCGCCGACGGCTCCATGCAGGTGAGCTGAGCTGGCAGGTGAACTGAGCTGAGCTGTACCTGCCGCCCCGCCCCCGCCCGGCTCTGGACCCGTCGTGCCTGTTTGGAGATGGGGAATTGCACCGTTGTAAGTCGGAGGACTACCTGGAAGGAGGGATGGGAGGCCACTACGAGATCAATGTGCCTGCTGCTGGAGGCTCTCACCCACCCCACTTCGGGGCCTATGTAGATGGGATGGGAGGCCACTAAGAAATCATGCCTTTGAGATGGGGATGCTCCCACCGCTGGACCTCTCTCCACCCGTTGGGGTCCCTGTTGGTGGGATGGGAGGCCACTTGGAAATCACGCCTCTCAGAGGAGCTCCTGGAGGCTCTCGCGGCTTGCCCACCCCTTGCAGGGTCTGTGTAGGTAGGATGGGAGGCCACTAGGAAATCACGCCTTTGAGACCAGAATGCTCC